AGTCTTAGTCTGGAAGCTCAGCTGAAACCTGTCCACCATGGGTGACCCTGCTGGTATTTGAAATTCAGATGGCATAGCTTCCAGCATCACATAAGCCACTGCTGTATGACAAACTGACAGACAAGTGGTGGAGTATTAGTATAGGAATACACAAATAGATCTAAGGAATAAAATTAGTCGCCCTGGAAAAGGCCCACCAACTTATGTGGAATGTTGACTCATCACAGAGGAAGAACACTACAGGCCATTGCCAGAAACTATACATTTTAATCGTGGGGTTGTCATTGTTAGGTGCCGTTGAGTCAGTTCCAGCTCATAGCGACCCTATGTACAACAGAATAAAACACTGCCCAGTCGTGCGCCATCCTCACTATCGTTGTTATGCTTCAGCCAATCGCTACAGCCACTGTGTCAAGCCATCTCATTGACAGTGTTCCTCTTTTTCTCTGACCTTCTACTTTACCAAGTATGATGTCCTTCTCCAGGGACTGATCCCTCCTGATAATATGTCCAAAGTATATGAGTCATAGTCTTGTCATCCTTGCTTCTAAGAAGCATTCTGGCTGTACTTCTTCCAAGACAGGTTTGTCCATGGTATATCCAATATTCTTCACCAACACCACAATTCAAAGGTGTCAATTCTTCTTTGGTCTTCCTTATTGTCCAGCTTTCCCATGCATATGAGGCGACTGAAAACACCATGGCTCGGGTCAGGCGCACCTTAGTCTTCAAGGTGACATCTTTGCTTTTTAACACTTTAAAGAGGTCTTTTGCAGCAGATTTGCCCAATGCAATGCGTTGTTAGATTTCTCGACTGCTGCTTCCATGGTCGTTGATTGTGGATCCAAGTAAAATGAAATCCTTGACAACTTCAATCTTTTCTCTGTTTATTATGATGTTGCTTACTGGTCCAGTTGTGAGGATTTTTGTTTTCTTTATGTTGAGGTGTAATCCATACTGAAGGCTGTAGTCTTTTATCTTCATCAGTAAGTGCTTCAAGTCCTCTTCACTTTTCAGCAAGCAAGGTTATGACATCGGCATTCGCAGGTTGTTAATGAGTCTTCCTCCAATCCTGATGCCACGTTCTTCTTCATATAGTCCAGCTTCTTGCGTCGTGTAAAGTCAGGAAAGGTGTGTCAGGGGTGTATCCTTTCACCATACTTATTCAGTCTGCATGCTGAGTAAATAATCCAAGAAGCTGCACTATATGAAGAAGAATATGTGGGGTAGAGTCAACTAATTATTAGAACAATGTATGTATTCCTATGTACTCCACGTGCAAAAATCAATTCCAAGTAGATTAGCTTTAAATGTCAAAAGGTAAACCTATAAAACTTTCAGAAGTTGTAAACAAATGATTTTATGACATCAGCAGAGAGAAAAAAAAAGAAAACATAAGAGAAGAGACTGACAAATTCAACTATATTAAAATTTAGGACTACTCATCAAAGGACACAAAATGTGAGTGAGTACTTAAGGTACATACTAGGGAAAAAATTGTAATAAATATAAATGAAACTATTTCTTTCCAAACTCTATAAAGAAGCCCTAAAAAGTTGCAGAAAGATGAATTAACACTGGGAAAATATGCACAGCTTGTCAGTACTGAAGTCGTGCAAGATAACTATAGAATGAGCTTAAAGTTAAGATACCAATTCATTCCCATTACAAAGCAAAAATTAAATTTGAGACTCCCTGTGTTGGTCAAGTAGATAGAACAAATAAAATACATATACTTACTTTGTGTAAGGGAAAATCGATAAACAACATTGTAATTTCCTAGTAAATTTAAATTTGGCTATGATCTGCAACTCAGCCACTTCCCCTCACTGGCGAGTTACTGTGCATTTCGAGTGTGCAGAGAGAATGAACAGAGCGGCACTACTTGGAAAAGCAAAAACTAAACTTGAAACAATCTAAATCCCCTAAGGTATACAATGGATACGTAAATTGTGGCCAAGTCATAAAGTGGAACACATACGTGCATAGGAACATGGGTAGACTAAAGCTACACACACTAACATGTATGAAACTCAAAAATATCATGAGGAAAACAATTCACTAAAAGCACACATAGTAATTATATTTATACAAAACTCGAATATATATAGTTTATGAACTAAAACTCAAGTGGTAAAGCCAGAATAATAGCAACAGTAAGAATAATAAATTTCTAGATAGTAGTTAACTCCAGGTTAATGAGATCTGAGCGGTATACACTGGGAGGCTCTAAGAATGTCCCAATTTTTGTGTATAATCAGGTGTTTACGTTAGTGTTATTAAAACGTTAAGGGTAAGTTTCATACATTCTTTGTTTATAATATACCTCTTTATCCACAAGTTCTGTATCCGCGGAGTCAACCAACTGCAGATCAAAAATATTCAGAAAAAAAAAAAAGTTCCAAAAAGTGAAACTTGAATTTGTCTCACACCAAGCACTGTGAAATGATGTATACGCATACCCTGATGTAGTCTCCTGCCATTTCCCAGATCCTTAGTCTCTCCTCAGCACCTGCTGTTTGAGCATTGTTTGCCTGGCATCTCTTTCGTTCCCTACTTGTGTTGTGTGCAACCTTTGTTTCTGTGGAAAACATGACTCCTAAAAAGCAATTAAGTGGTCAAACCAACCCCTCAAAGGCTAAGAGGGAGCATAAAGTGCTGTCTGCATAGCACAAATTTCAAAAATAAGAATTGAAAACAGAAGAATCCAAAAATGGGGGGGGGGGTAAATTTTCACATATTTGTCTTAATAGATGATAAGTAGAGACAAAAGTTAGTAAGAATAGAGAAGTTGTATTGACCCATCGCTGTGGAGTTGGAATCAACTCGATGGCAATAAGGTTATGGGTTTACAACTACTTACATAGCACTTACATTGTATTAGGTATTATAAGTAAACTAGAGATGATTTAAAGTATACAGGAAGATGTGCATAGGTTACATGCAAATACTATGCCATTTCATATAACGGACTTGAGCATCCAAAGATTTTGGTATCCGTGGGGGTCCTGGAAGCAATCCCCCACTGATATGAAGGGACGACTATTATTTTAGAATAGAAAGCTTAAAGTATTATTTAAAACTTGGAAAGAAATTTGATTTTCACATATTAATTTTACCAAGTAATCTGAAAACCTGTTCATTTTGATTTAACTTCTCTAAGGCTACAGGGCTTTTATTCATAAACTTTTTATGCCTAAATCTTAGAAATTTAAACTTATAAAATACAGCCAGCTTTGTAAAAGCAAAATGTTGGAAACTATCCAAGTGTCCATTTATGGCAATGAGGTTTTTTTTTAAAAAAAAAAAAAAGGAAAAAGTAAGATCCATCAAATGCAGTATTATGGAATTTTATAAAACTTTACACTTGTGCTGTCTATGTATTGTTATGAACAAATCTCCAGGATAATTTGTGAACTGTAAAAGCAAGTATAAATTATATGCTATCGTATGTATAATAAAGTAGGAGAAATGAAAATTTCGAATTCTATTTGCTGCATTTCCATAAAGAAATACTGGCAAGACGCTTGAAAAAACGTTACAATAAAGCAGGTTATCTAAAGGTAGCTGCTGGGGGAAAAAAAAAAAAAAAAGCCAGTCTTGATGAGCCAAGAGTAAGAACAAGTCTTCATAAAGTATCCTTTTAAGTTCATGAGATTTGAACTTTGAAGGTATTATCTATTAGAAAATACAATAGTTTGCATAAGCTAATTTTTACTTTTAAGCATGTTATAAATCAAATGTAACATGAAGTGTGTTTCCAAGGAAATCCCATTCAAGCATATAAAACCATTTAAGATTTAATCACGAAGGGCCTAATTGTTATTAAATGGTCTAATGTATTTGTGCAAATCATAAAAATGTGAGTCTGAGATCATTCTTTAAATACAGTGACGAGAGACATCAGTCTGGACTTCCACTTTATCTCAGTCAGAATGTTTCTAAAATGGCTGGAAGATTTAAAATATTAGGGGTTCCGGAATGATATGGTAAATGTAATAGGAGTTTTAAAGATCCTTCTCGAGATTTAAGTAAACTTAAGAGTAACTTTTAGATCAGTAAATAGGCATTCCTCTGTGTTTGAGAAATTTTATATATATTAAATGGAAAAATTCTCAGTAGAAACATAACCTGATTCCAAAAGTTGCTTCCAGTGGAAATTGTGACCTTGAGAAGTTACATACGACCATCTCCTATCCTGACCTTCTTTAGCAAAAAGAAAAAAATCCACTCTTAGATTCTAATCCAAAATGGGAGGGAGCAGTAAAATAAGTTAGGAGTTTAATACCAGCTCAAGGCAGAGACAAGCTTGGAGGACAGGGACCTGGACTGGGTACTGTGCTTCTCACACACCTGAAAGCCTCAACCAAAATCAGTACCCACTGGGGTGAAAATGATGGCTTTAGAGACTCCACACATGATCCAGCTGGACTCACTCTGCTGCCTCATTCCTTTGGCGAGGTCATGAAACTGCCAAGCCTCACGCAGGACCCCATGAAGAGTCGGAGTTCTTCCCCTAATAACTCTCTCTCCCATTCTTTACCCCATCACACTGTGTGAGAGTTGGAGCTGTAGTGTCAGAGCTGCACAAAAAAGCCTGCAGTGCCCAGGGGAAGCTAAGAACACTGTTTGCAATGATGTGACAAGGATGGCTCTGGAGGGCCTGGGGCTCAGCCTCCTCAGCCACAGCTTCTCTGTCTTCAGACTCTGGTAAGAAGACAGTCATTTAACACAGAGCACCAAGGCCCAGGGCGAGGATGGTAATACCCCGTGATGCCAACTTGGAAGTCACATAAGGAAGGTGATCCAGGCATTTAAGGCTTAAAAAACCACATATGTGTACAGGAAGGGCCCTGTGACAATGGCGCTTCTTAGGATTTAGACATTGGCCTCTTCTGCCACCTTTTAAATCACAGAAGAAACACAGAGCTGAGAATACACAGCTGATCCCCTACCAAATCATTTATGCTAGGAGTTACCCAGTTCTCTATGGTACTCACCATTTCCCGGCTCCAGCCTCTGTAAGTCCAAGTGAAAGTCCTCTCTGAGCCCAAGAAGCCAGTTAAGACCAGAGGGATGGGAGTGGAAGCAAGGCCACTAGGCAGTCTGGCGGGAGATGAATAAGGTTTGGTCCACACAGCCAGTCAGCAGGTTAAATCCTTACTTGTGATTTACAGATGTGTTAAGATGGTCACCGGAGGTCCTCAGCTGCCTATACTGGATCCGTTCTTGCTAAACCACACCTGGAACCTGAAATGGAAGATGGGAGGTGCGGTAGGGGAGACAGTGCTGAGTAAGCAGGAAGTGACAAGTTCTCGGCTTCACCTCTTTCCCTGGGCTGGGCTTCCTCCCAGGATCAAGGCATTGCTCCACCTTGAGGGTATCTGCAGTCTTCACGCAGCTCTACAGGTTTCAACCTTATGGCAAGGAAATCACATATGGAGCAATTTCCTCATCCCAGAGCATGAGAAGCATCCATGCCTAGCCAAGCTAGAAAACTTGAACCTGATTTCCACAGGGTGTGAGAGGCCCAAAGTTCAGACTGTGGTTTCACCTGGGTATCTTTGCTCCTTATAAATCCATATAAAAAAACTTAAAACCCATTGCCAGCAAGTCAATTCCAACTCATAGCGACTTTATAGGACAGAGTGGAACTGCCCCATAGGGTTTCCAATGAGCAGCTGGTGGATTCAAACTGCCAACACTTTGGTTAGCAATAAACCCATATAGACATTTATGTTTGACATCAACATGGCTGAATTTTCTGGAAGAACATATTTTTCAAGTTTGGTCAATGAATGCATCATGACTCTTTAATTTTTTATTATGTGCAGTTAAACTCTCTTTTCTAAATTCTCATTTATATCATTATAAAATATGATCAGGATTTTTCCTCTCTATTTTGCAATTAACACTTCTTTGTTCCTTTTGAATTCTGGGCAGAGAGCTACACAGACGCCTGATTATGTAAAATCTTGTTATCAAAAGTAAAATACACGGCTTTCTTTCTATATGGGATTGATGTCATGGGGATGTAGGGAGGTATGTGGGCATTTCAAAGATTAAATGCCAACCCTAGGCAGGGATAGCTCACAGAAATAAAATCACATTTGAGAAACTGCAGTGAGGAAAGAATGGACTCTTGAAAGTAAATCGATCTGGGTCAAGTGGTTATTAATAGGGAAAGAAAATAACAAGACTAATTCCATAATAGCAACTCCAGTGAATTACAATTCTAAACATTACAAAAATAGATTGTTAATGACTTTGGAGTTAGCAGTGATTTCTCAAATTAAAATTACACATTTAAGTTTTGAAATATATGCAGTTGCTGCTTGATTCTTTAGGATGTATATATTTATTCCTATTTTTTGTTCTATGTAAAATGATACCCTTTTTTTACTCTTACCTTCAAGAGATTTGATATACACACACTACCTTCATCCTACATTATTACATTTCATTTAAATACAAACATATTCTCTATTTATATTACAAATGCTACACGTTTTACACATCAATTGAACTTTTACTTCTTCACATTCAAAGTTATGTCCTATAAATCAACACTTTCCAATAGTTGCACATTTCACATTTATCCAAATAAGAGCACTTTCTAAAATAATTATTTTAAAGAATGAGGTACACTCGGCCTCACTCAGTGTGGCTGATCACAATGTGTTGAAATGTTTTGAATACTTCCATAATGCACACTGCTCATTTTGCCCTCATTCCCAACATGGGCTGCTCTAACAATGTAAACAGGAGTTTTTACTGCAAGAAGCCTTCAACCTATTAAGTGTGGTTCTAATGTAGCAGAAATTATGGGTGACTCACTAGCATCCAATCCGGCACAGATCCTGTCTGATGCGTGATCTCTGTCAACTGCTTGTCTCGTATGTTTACCTTGTTTAGCCATTTCAGGTTGGCATATTGTCTCTGATACAACTGTGATGGAAATTTTCGCATTAGGGTCAAATAAATTCTTGGAAATGTGCCACTTAATAAATTTTTTCCTCCTGAAGTGGGTATTAATATGGTCCTAAATGAACTTACTAGTTCCAGTTCTTGTTTCTTAATTCTTTACCTATGCTAAAGTTCTATTAACAATTAAACTAAAAACAAAACCCATTGCCATCCAGTCAATCGCGACTCACAGTAACCTTATAGGATAGGGTAGAACTGCCCCATACGGTTTCTAAGGCTGTAAATCTTTATGGAAGCAGACTGCCACATCTTTCTCTCGCCTAGCGGCTGGTGTTTCAACTACCGACTTTCGTTAGCAGGATTGCTTAACCACTACCACACCCGGGCTCCTTAACAATCAGACGGGGGTGGGGGTGGGGGTTAATATGCTTCACAATAATCTTTTTTTTTTTTTTTTTAATAACCACCAATAACTTAACAGAAGTCCTTGCTTTGCTGAGGCACAGAAAAGCAATGAAGCATGGTGCGGGGCAAACTGGAGCAGGTGGCAGCAGGGCATTTAGCGTCAGGCTAGCTACCCTGGGTTTCACAGAGGCTTGTGACTTTGTAGTTCTCACAAACTCCCAGCTGAAGCTGATACTGATGGTCTCCACCACGCTTGTGCGTACCCGTGATTTACATGATCTTACCTATTAGGAACAAATCTGTCTTGGAGTAAGTACAGCCAAGATGTTCTTTAGAAGCAACGATGGAGAGACTTTGTCTCATATACTTTGGATATGTTATCAGAAGGGACCACTCCCTGGAGAAGGACATCATGCTTGGCAAAGTAGAGGGTCAGCGAAAGAGAGGAAGACCCTCAACGAGATGAAGTGACACAGTGGCTGTAACAATGGGCTCAAGCATAAAAACGACTGTGAGGATGGCGCAGGACCGGGCAGTGTGTCATTCTGTTGTACACAGAATCGCTATGAGTCGGAAGCGACTCCACGGCACCTAACGACAACAATCAATTCACCGACAGACCTAGGGCCACCCCACCTACCTGGCAGTCCCAACCCCGGAAAACAGCCGCCCGGAGGCCGCGGGAGTACCGAGCGGGGGCTGTCAGAGCAGGCACTTCGCTGCGCCGGCGGCCGAATCCGAAGCGCCGGGAGACTCCAGGCGAAGACAGGCTAGTGGAGGTCCTGCGACTCTGGACTATCCACCGAGGCCGGAGAGGCCAGGACTGCGCAGGAGCGGAGCCACTTCTTTAGAAACCCAACGGGCCCTCCGTGTCCGGCGGGCTGTACCTGGTACCGGGCCAGGCCGGACGCCTACAAGCGGCGAAACGTTTGTCACACACCAGCAGGAGGAGTACGAAACTTAGCTGCGGGCCGCGCACTCACAGCTCTGCTTCGGAGCTCTGAGACGCTCGGTGCGGAAAGGGCGGGGTTCCGTGTTGGGGACGCACGGGGCTCCGCCCAGTGGCCAGGACAGTAAGACGCTCTCCCTTGGATTTGGGATCTGGTTTATTGTCTTTATTCCTCTATACACAAAAAAGCCTTAAACCAAAAACCCTGTTGCCATTTAGTCAATTCCGACTCATAGCGACCCTGTAGGACAGAGTAGAACGGCCCCATAGGGTTTTCAAGGCTGTTATCTCTACAGGCCCTGGAGCCCTGGTGGTGCAGTGGTTGAGAGCTCGGCTGCTAACCAAAAGGTTGGCAGTTCCAATCCACCAGCCGCTCCTTGGAAACCCTATGGGGCAGTTCTACCCTGTCCTATAGGGTCACTGTGAACCGGAATCGACTCCACGGCAATGGGGTTTCAATCTTTACGGAAGCAGAGCTAAACCAGCAGAGAAGTAGCGATGAGAGGCGGGGAAAGTCGAGTTGAGCAAAGACGGACAAGGCTAAGGGAGCCGAGGCTAGGCGGAGATTGCCGAAAGGTGCCGAAGAGTGGCGGAGAAAGCCGAAGCGAGGCGGAGAGCGCTGAGCAGAGTAGGGGAGAGGCGAAAAGAGCCGAGATTAGGTGGAGACTACCAAGAGCCAGGGCGTGACGGAGAAAGACGAGGCCAGGCGGAGGGAGCCGAGCCGAGTCTAGCCGAGGAGTGGCGGAGAAAGCCGAGGTTAGGAGGACAGAGCTGAGCCTAGAAGCGACGAAAGGAGGAGAAGCTTGACCCGGCGGGGGAGGAGTGACAGCGTATCAGGTTTGCGGCAATAGAGAGCGGCGGGTAGAGTCGTGGTGGAATGGGGAGGCGAAGACGGGGTGTGGGGCAGGTGCCCTTCTCCCTACTCCTCCAGTCCTGCTGCTGCCTGCCCAGGGTGGGGGGCGGGGGTCTGACCGTGACAGCAGCAAGGTCCCGCCAGCGACAAGGACGAACGTGTCCCGTCCTGAGACTGGTTCCCTCTGGCTTTGATGTCTGCTTTGAGTGGGATGATGTCCATCAGTGGGAAGTGACCCCTCTTGGGATGCAGCAGCCGACCCACACTGAGCCCGCTGGCCCAGCCCTTGGGAAGGCCGCTGGAGGGGCGGTACCCCATGCCAGCTGATGTGGGGGACTGACAAGAGGCCCCTCATAAAAGGAGGAGTCACTGGGAAGCACTGAGTATCTGTTAATGGTGATGGTAGCACAGCATGATTAATGTAATCAGTGTCACTGAATTTTACGTATAAAAAATGGTGAGTTGGCAAATGTTGTGTTATATGTACATTTTACCACACCAAAAAAAGAAAAAAAAAGCAAACCAGTAAAAATCCCCTCAAACCAAAAATATACCCCGAAGTCTTCTTAAAAGCAAACAATGGTATGTGCCATCGAGCGGGATTAAATAATCCCCAATCACAACACTGACAAGAAAGACAAAGATGAGGGAGCCAATGGTGATTTTTGCAATTTTGATGGGACATCCACTGAAATGGAATAAGAAAAATAAAGGTTTCACTTCAATGAAATCTCCAGTATCAAAGTGTCTTGACGTCTGTAATGGTGGGTTACACTTGTCCCTTCTCTCTTGTCCCTGGGCTTCTCTTTGCCAGTCTGACAGAACCTTATTTTCCGGCAACCCTGAAACAGCTCACTGGGGCTGCTTGGCAGGCTGGGAGGTCTGTATTCCAGAGAAGCACACCCCTGACAGACCACGGCCCATCACCAGCCTTCTTCCCACCTCCTCCCACGGGCAGGTGACCTGGACAGTTACACAGGACCCGTTGCTCAGCTTAGCACTCCACCGCTGCTACCTGGAATTTCTTAATACTTTTTGAACGAGGAGTCCCACGATTTCCTTCTGTGCTGAGCCATGCGAATTCTGTAGCTGGTTGCCATCCCACCCCACCCGTCAGGGGAAAAACGCCCCAGTAGGTGCCCTGTGGGTGCCAGGTGGTCCTGCCCATCCTCACTGGGCAACCGGCCCATTAACAGCTTTGTTCCAGACACAAAAGGCAACATATCATATGATTCCATTTATATGAAATGTCCAGAGTAAAAGACAGAAAGCACATTGGCAGTTGCCAGGGGCTGGGGCAAAGGGGGAATGGGGAGTGACCGTTTATTGGGTAAACCAAAACCAGACCTGCTGCCAGGTGAGTCCATTCCGACTCATGGCGACCCCATGTGTTACAGAGTAGAACTGTGCTTTGTTGGGTTTTCTTGGTTGTAATCTTTATGGAAGCAGATCACCAGGCCTTTCTTCTTGGTACCACTGGATGGGTTCAAACTGGCAAGCTTTTGATTAGTAGGCAAGCACAAGGAGACCTTGGCTTAATGGTTACTAGGTTTAATTAAAAAAAAAATTGCCATGGAGTCAGTTCTGAATCCTGGTGACCCAAATGGTGTCAAGAGTAAGAACTGTGATCCAAAGGGTTTTCAATGGCTGATTTTTCAGTAGATAGCTAGGCCCATCTTCCAAGGTGCCTGTGGGCGGACTCAAACTGCCAATCTTCTTTTGAGTCGGCCTGAAGCTCAAGAAGCTGCAAAGCCTGATTATCTTTCCAGGCTGACTCCCATCCCTTGACTTTCTCCTGGAAAAGAAATCCCTCTAATATACTTATTCTAAGTAATAATTATTTTTTCTCTGAATGGAGCTCCTCATTAAAAGTGAATTCAGTCTGTCCCACAATCCTAGACTAGTACAAGCTCTTCTATAGCCCTTTTATATCTTCTGGGCCAGTGTTGTTGAATCAACTTTGCAGCTTTTGCCAGTGTGTATGAATGGCCTGATTACAATAAGGACACTTGCTTTGTATCCAAAAAACTAGGGTCTCCCATACTACTGTTAGGTGAGTGCTAGTCCTATCTAGATGTGATTTAAGTCTAAGTATGCCATAAGGTCTCCCATACACTTCCTCATCTCAGGGTGAGGCAGTTTCCTGGTGGAGTTTGGATTCACTGCCTGATGCCTCCACAACGTGTCTGTCAGTTTGTCGTGGTGGCTTGCGTGTTACTGTGTTAGTGGAAGCTTTGCCACCGGTATTCAAATACCAGCAGGGTCACCCATGGTGGACAGGTTTCAGCTGAGCCTCCAGACTAAGACAAACTGGGAAGAAGGAGCTGGCGGTCTACTTCTGAAAAAATTGGCCAATGAAAACCTTATGAATAGCAGTGTCTGATATAGTGCCAGAAGATGAGCCCCTCAGGTTGGAAGGCACTGAAAATACGACTGGGGAAGAGCTGCCTCCTTAGAGCGGACCTTAATGACATGGATGGAGTCCAGCTTTTGGGACTTTCATTTGCTGATGTGGTATGACTCAAATTGAGAAGAAACAGCTGCAAACATTCGTTAATAATCAGAACACGGAAGGTATGAAGTATGAATTAGGAAAATTAGAAATCATTAAAAAAGAAACAGAAAGCATCAACATCGATATCCTAGGCATTAGTGAGCTGAAATGGACTGCTCATTAGAAGTATAAGGATGGCGAGACTTCATCTCGTGTACTTTGGACATGCTATCAGGAGGGATCAGTCCCTGGAGAAGGACATCATGCTTGGTAAAGTAGAAAGTCAGGGAAAAAGAGGAAGACCTTCAAAGAGATGGATTAACATAGTGGCTGCAACAGTGCGCTCAAGCATAACAATGATTGTGAGGATGGTGCAGGACCAGGCAGTATTTTGTTGTGTTGTACATAGGGTCGCTGAGTCAGAACTGACTCCATGGCACCTAAAAACAGTAACACTATCACTGGGACTATAAGCAGCAAAACGAGGCCAACCTGTAGTGTTGATCTCAACCATGACCCCCTCCCCCATAACAACTCTGAATAAGGCCTATCAGGGACTGAAAAAAACACAAACCTGTTGCCCTTTAGTGGATTCCGACTCATAGCTATAAGTCAGAGTAGAATTGCCGCATAGGTTTTCCAAGGAGCAGATGGTGGATTTGAACTGCCGACCTTTTGGTTAGCAGCCTGACTCTTAACCACTGTGCAACCAGGGTTCCGTGAGGGACTAGTAGGTCTTATTTTAGTAGGTGTTATTTTAGACAGTCAGGTTGTAATCTAAGGCCAATCTGTTATTCATTGCAATCCACATGAGGGAGTGAAACTCATCTGCAGACATTTGGTGTCATTGCCAGTAATTAAAAGGTGCAACAGATAGGTTATTTAGCAACTCCCATCCTCAAAAGAGAGCCATCCCGTGACCCACTGTCCTGTACATACAAACATGTAACATGAAAGGGCATAGGTCACTCCATTTCAAAGGGGAAGGAAGAGAGGGGCAGTCTCACATTGTGCGAGAAAAGCACTCCAAGCCGAAATTATCATTTTGGGCCTTAGGGGAAGATGATACTGATTTAATCTGAGATATAGAACCAATAAAAATAGTTCACCAAAAGAATAAGCCATGGCTATGAGTAAAGAAATATCCTTTGCAAAGAGTTCAACCACAAGGGAAAAAATGGTTATAATAGAATTAAGACAATCAGTAGATGATTTTTAAAAATAAATAAAATTAAAGGTATTCTTACCCTGTAATACTCCCATTGTCGTTAGTTGCCATGTTGTTGTAGTTGGTTAGGTGCTGTCAAGTCGGTTCCAACACATAGCGACCCTATGTAAAACAGAACGAAACTGCCTTGTCCTGCACCATCCTCACAATCATTATTATGCTTGAGCCCATTGCAGCCACTGTGTCAATCGATCTCATTGAGGGTCTTCGTCTTTTTCACTGACCCTCTACTTTACCAAGCATGATGTCCTTCTGCAGGGACTGATCGATCCCTCCTGATAACATATCCAAAGTATGTGAGACGTAGTCTTGCCATCCTTTTAAGGAGCATTCGGGTTGTACTTCTTCCAAGACAGATTTGTTCGTTCTTTTGGCAGTCCGTGGTATATT